TAAGCGAATTCAAAATAGCTATGATGAAAAAAACTCAGACACAAGAATACTCAGAAAATCAAATCACAGAGATACAAGAAAACTTAGAAAAGTGTCTCAATGAGCTCAGGAATAAAATTAACAAACAGAAGACAGAAATTGAAGCTTTAAAGAATAAACTAAAAAGAGATTCAGGATGTGAACAACTCATTAAATGAGTTCAAGAATACTGTACAAAACTATGGAAATAAAATAAACCAATGGAGGAACAAATCAGTGAGTTTAAATATAGACACCTAGAAATAATACAGAGAGGGGTCTTCCTGGGGGCACAAGGGGTTAAGATGCAATCTATGAAGCTGTCCGCAGCCACTGCAGCACACGTTCGATCCCCAGCCGGCCAGGAAGCAATCCACATGGCGCAGCAGACCTCTCCTGTCTCTCCTGCTGCTCCCCTCATCAGTGTATTTCAGTCAATCTGCCTGTTCTGTTCCCCACTCTGTCTCTGGTGAAGCCTCTCACTCCCCCACAGCTCTGGTCTGTACCCCAGTTCTTATATGCATAAATAAAAAATCTTAAAAAAAAAAGAAATAATACAGAGAGATTTAGAAGGGGGCTGGAGGAAGAAAAGAAGGAGAATGAGGAGGAGGAGGAAGAAGATGTAGTAGTAGTTGTTGTCCTATCATTGACTCCAGTAGGAAAAGAAATACAAGAATTATGGACATTCAAAAAGGTGAAGAGAGGAAAAAGAGAACAGAAAGCTAATGAAGAAAAAATAGCTGAGGGCCTCCTCTGGTGGCGCAGGAGGTTGAGTGCCGTGCTGTGAAGCTGTCCGCAGCCTCTGCAGCTCCAGTTTGATACCAGCCAGCCAGCGAGGGTCCCACATGGCGTGGCAGATCTCGCCTGTCTTGCCCGCTGCTCCCCTCAGCAGTGTATTTCATCAGTCTGCCTGTTCTGTTCCCTGCTCTGTCTTTGGTGAATCCTCTCAGCCTCCCACGCATCTGGCCTGTACCCCAGTTCTTGTATAAAATGAATAAATAAATATTTTTTAAAAAAAACTCCATGAAGCTAACAAAACTCATGGTTATCTAAATGCAAAGACAACTAGAACAAGACACATATTAGGAACACTATCAAGAGTTTCAGACAAAAAAAGCATATTAAAGGGAAAAACAGCAGATAACATAAAGATAAGTGTTGCATTGGACTTTCCCAGACAAACAAGCTATAGAACTTTATCAGTCCTAGACATTCCTTACAAGAAATGTTGAAGGAATTCTTCTATCAAAATTGAAAAAAAAAGTTCACAAAAATTTGAACAAGCAATAAGTAGAATCAAAAAACAAAAGAAAAAATGGTAGTAGCAAGTACTCATATATATAAAATCACTCTGTAAATTAGTTGAAATCATTAATCAAAGGCACAGAGTGCCTTTTAAAGATTTATTTATTTATACAAGCACTGTGGTACAGGCCAGAGGCGTGGGAGGGTGAGAGAATCCACTAGGTGCAGGGAGCAAAACAGGCAGAAGGACCGAAAGCACTGCTGAGGGGAGCAGCAGGCGCGACAAGAAGAGGTCTGCTGCACCATGTGGGACCCTCGCTGGCCAGGCACTCTGTGCCTTTGATTAGTGATTTCAACCAATTTACATTTACAATATAGTACTGGAAATCCTAGCCAGGGCAATTAGATAAAAAGAGGAAGTACAAGGTATACAAATTATAAAGAAAGAAATAAAACTATCACTATTTGCAGATAACATGATAATATACAAAGAAAACCCCAGGCACACTAAAAAAAAAATTATTAAAATAAATGCAAACAGTAAAGTTGCATGCTACAAATTAATACATACATAAATCCACTGTGGTTCCACATGTAAAAAATAAACTACCAGAAAGAGAAATCAGGAAAACAATTCCATTTACAACTACATCAAAAAGAATAAAATACCGAGGAATAAATTTAACCAAAGAAGTAAAGACATGTTGACTGAAAATTATAAGATGATAGTGTTTGAAGTAATCAATGAAGACACAAAGAATTAGAAAGAAATTCCATGCTCATGAACTGGATGAATTAACATCATTAAAAATGGCCATATTACCTAAGCAACATATAGATTCACTTTACTCGCTATCAAAATCCCAAAATCATTCTTCACAGAAATAAAACCATAAAATAATAAAACTTATTTGGAGTTACAAAAGACCACCAAATAACAAAATTAATCTAAGGAAAAAACAAAATTGGAGTTATTTAGCACATGTCCTGACTTCAAAACTATATTCCTAAAGAGTGATCAAAACAATGGTATTGGAATAAAAAATAAATAGAACTGAGAGCTGAGAAATAAACCCACATATACATGGACAACTAATTCACAACATAAAGACCATGAGCATAAAAATGGAGCACAGAAGTCTTTCACAGTCACATACTAGACCTCTACCTAATGCCATACACAGAAATTAATTCAAAATGGAGTAAAGATCTGTATGTAAGACCTGAAAAAATAAAATACATAGGAGAAAAAAGAGCTCACAGTAAGGCTCCTCAAAATTGGCTTTCACAGATGCCTTTGGGGACTCAAGTCCAATAGTGAGGGAAACAAAAACAAAAATAAACAAAGGGGATTACATCAGTTTCTTCACTGTAAAAGAAACTATCAGCAAACACAAAGGTATCCTACTGAAGGGGAGAAGATATTTACAAATATTACATCTGAGAAGGGCTAATAAACAAAATAGATAAAGAACCAATAAAACTCAACAACAACAACAAAAATCAAACAACCCAATTTGAACATGGGGAGAACAGATCTGAACAGACACTTCTCCAAAGAAGACATGGCTAAAAGGAATATAAAAAGATGTTCAGCATCTATTATTATTACATAAATGTAATCAAAACATGAGATATCACCCTATACTCGTGAGAACAGCTATTATCAAAAAGACAAGAAATAACAAGTGTTGGAGAGGATATGGAAAATAGAGGATGCCTTTGTACACAGTTGGTGGGAATGCAAACAGGTAAAAGTTATGAAAAGCAGTATGAAGATTCCTCAAAAATATTAAAAATAGAAACTCCATACTATCCAGTTATCTCCTTCTGGGTATTTACCTGATGAATTAAAAAAAAAAAAAAAACCACTAATTCAAAGAGATAAATGAACACCCATGTTCATCACAACATTATTTACAATAGCCAAGAGCTGGAAACAACTTAAGTGCCATTGACAGATGACTGGATAAAAAAGATGTGCTACACATACACAGCGGATTATTACTCAGTTAGAAAAAAAAAATCCTGACATTTGCAATCCTGACAGGTATGCTGGGTGAAATAAGTCTGATGAGAAAAGATAAACACCTTACAATTTCACTGATACGTGGTATGTAAACTTTTAGACTACAAAGCCAAATTTGTATTTACCAGAAACCAGGTGGAAAGGGAGGTGGATAAATCAGTATAAAGAGTCAGTTGGATGTGAATGATAAAACTGAACTTTCAGTGGTGAACTTAATGTAGTATATAATGTATACTGTATATAATATATAATGTATATACAGACGATTTGTAAGTATCCACATCTGAAACTTATATAATTATTCAAAGTTACCTCAATACAAAGTTTCTAAATACATACAACAAATTCTTCAAACTGAAAAAAAATTCTTATAAATAGTCATATATGCATTTAAAAGAAGTACAAGTTTCAAAGCTGGGTTGAAAGAGCAGTGTTTCAAAAAATACTGTTAGACCTGATTGTCAAAATTCAAAATGCACAGAAATTAAAAGTTATTGTTTAAAAAAATATATATATATATGAGATGATGGATGTAATAAACTGAATAGGGGAATTCTTTCCTTAAATATACCTACATCAAGTCATCATGGAGTACACGGTAAATCTTACAATTTTGTATGTCAACTATACCTCAATAAAGTTGATAAAAAAGTCTCCTGGAACAGGTATAAAATATTCATTTTTATTGACTTAGCCCTACATTTACTAAATCTAAAGTCTTGGGTTACAGCCCAAGAATCTTCAGTTTTAATAGGCACCTTAGATGATACTAATTCATGTAAAGTATGGACCACTACTTGAGAAATATTGGCTCAGTATTATTTATAGACATAATCTGAAGATCTGATATCATAAATTATGCCTGTATGTAGTCTCTTCATTCCTCTGCACTAACCTAGCCTTTTCATAATAAATTAATCAAATAAAAATACTGAACAGCTAAGATATTTTTACAGTACTCTCAATAATCTCTCTTAGTTAAAAGATGAGACGTTCTAGAGATTTAAGGTACAATATGACGACAATAATTAATCCTGATGTATGATACATATAAAAGTTGCTAAGATTAAATCCTAAGAGTGCTCACAAAAGTGAAACTTGCCTCTTTTTTTTGTATCTATATGAAATGATAGATATTAACTAAATTTATTGTGGTAATCATTTCACAACGTACATAAATCAAATTATGTTCTACATTTTAAACTTGCACAGTGATATGTCAATTATCTCAATAAAACTGGAAGAAACTAGGGCCTCCCCTGGTGGAGCAGGCGGTTGAGCACCACGCTGTGAAGCTGTCCGCAGCCTCTGTAGCACCAGTTAGATCCCGGCCAGCTGGCGAGGGTCCCACATGGTGCGGCAGACCTCTCCTGTCGTGCCCGCTGCTCCCCTCAGCAGTGTATTTCATCAGTCTGCCTGTTCTGTTCCCCACTCTGTCTCTGGTGAATCCTCTCACCCTCCCATACATCTGGCCGGTACCCCGGTTCTTATATAAAATAAATAAATTAATTTAAAAAAAAACTGGAAAAAACTAAACTCAAAAAATAATTTACGTCACAAATAGTACGTTGTACATAAGCAAGAAAGTTACCCATGTGATTTTTGATTATTATAAGACAAAGATATGAGAAAACATAGCAAATACAAATATATTACTTAAACACTAACCCCTCACATTAGTGCGTATGAATTTTCAAGAGAAAATTACCTGATAGAGTTATAGATGTCCAGTGGGGTTTGATTCTTTTCTTCGGCTATTCTCATCATATCTAACACAGCCATGCCCAGACATTCTTCCTGAGTTTCATGAGTCACAGGTACTTTTATCCATCCATGCACAAAATCATGCCGCCACTTAAGGAAAAAAATTTACAAGGGAACATCTCTTAAATGTGACTATCACATTTTAATCTACTACTATATTTTAACCTATCATAAAATTTCCAGAACATATGCATTTAAAAAGAAAGTCTGCTGCCCCCCTGATTATCTACCACTTTGTCATAAAATTTCAGGGCCTCCCTAGTGGTGCAGCGGTTGAGCGCTGACTTGCGAAGCTGCCCGCAGCCTCTGTAGCGCCAGTTCGATCCCTGGCCACTGGGCGAGGGTCTCACATGATGCGCAGACCTCTCTAGCTGCCCTCTGCTCCCCTCAGCAGTATATTTCGTCAGTCTGCCTGTTCTGCTCTCCTCTCTGGCTCTGGTGAATTCTCTCGCCCTCCCGCGCTTCTGACTGTACCCAGTGCTTGTATAAATAAATAAAATAAATCTTAAAAAAAAAATTTCAGTAAAAGTCTCCTTGTAAATGGAAACTGAATTATTAAATTGTGTTTCCAATCATAGGATACATATGATATCCACTTATTTCACTGTTTATATCATCAAATTATACTTCTACATCAAAATTACATAAATTAGGGCCTCCCCGGTGGCGCAGCGGTTGAGCGCTGGGTTGCGAAGCTGCCCGCAGCCTCTGCATCGCCGGTTCGATCCCCGGCTGCTCCCCGGCCACCGGAGGAGGGTCCCGCATGGCGTGCAGACCTCTCCTGCCGCCCGCTGCTCCCCTCAGCAGTAGCAGTGTACTTCGGTCCTTCTGCCTGTTCTGTTCCCCGCTCTGGCTCTGGTGAATTCTCTCACCCTCCCACGCTTCTGACTGTACCCAGTGCTTGTATAAATAAATAAATAAATCTTTAAAAAAAAATTACATAAATTAATATAGACATTAATTAAATATTTACTGAGTTCCAAATATGTTCCAAGTATTTTAATAAGGACTATGCAGAAATATAAGTTTAGCCCTCAAGGAAACTAAAATCTAGCAGGAAAGCTAATAGGAAAGCTAAATATGTAAACAAAAATTATAATGCCAGATAATGTATAAGAAGTGCCACAAAATAGATGCTTCATGTCTGTAAAGGAAGCTGAGATCATATATAGCTGGGATAATCAGGGAAAGGTTTCATGGAAAATTCAAAAATTTTTTTAAAGATTTATTTATTTATTTATACATACAAGCACTGGGTATAGTCAGAAGCGCGGGAGGGTGAGAGAATTCACCAGAGCCAGAGCAGGGAGCAGAGCAGGCAGAAGGACCAAAGTACACTGCTGAGGGGAGCAGCGGGCAGCAGGAGAGGTCTGCGCCATGTGGAACCCTCCTCCGGTGGCCGGGGAGCAACCAGGGATCGAACTGGCGCTGCAGAGGCTGCGGGCAGCTTCGCAACCCAGCGCTCAACCGCTGTGCCACTGGGGAGGCCCAGGAAAATTCAAATTTTTATGTAGTCTTTGAAGATGAGGAAAGTTTGGATGGACATAAAACATGGCGAAGAAACAAAAGGACCTCCTCCTATATTTTATTTATGTATCCCTTTGGTTTAACATCTCATGAAAAAAAAAAGTTTTATATGAATGCTTTTACAATTATTTCATTAATAGAAATAAACATGCATTTAAAAGTATAATTGTCAATTTTTTATTAACAAATTAGGACATTTTAGTACAAGATAAACTATATTACTTAAAAGGCACAAACTATGAAATAACTACTGTGAACCAAAACAAAGGTCTAAAAGTTGGTGACACAAAATGAATTCAGACAACCTATCCCATTTACAAATGTATCAAAAAGAATAAGTACTGAGGAATAAATTTAACCAAGGAAGAGAAAGACCTGTAAACTGAAAACTGTGAGACATTAGTGAAAGAAACTGAAGACACAAACAGTAAAAATTTATATTGCATGCTCACAATTGCAAGAATATTGTTAAAATGTTCATACTTCACAGTGATGGCTGACCAGGGCTTCCTGACCTATACAGGCTTCTGCTATACAGGTGATGGCCAGTCCTGGCGTCTGAGTGATTCCCAGGGCCCAGCAAAGGTACCAAGTTTCCAGAGCCCTGAAGACAAGGGGTAACACCCCAAAATATGAACTCATTTTTCACTCCACCTTCATTGGCCAAAAAGCTGCTAAGAACAAAAGCCACATCTCCTGATAGCTGGTAAACAAATGCAGTACTGTCTCACAAATCAATTGCTTCTCTAAGGTAACCACAGTATATTTGGGGAGACATTTTCAGAATAAGTTAAGGAGAGCTATAAGCAACTTATATGACACAAGAGAGAATGTAGGAAAGAAAATGGATGCCATAAAGTAGGCAATGGTTCAGGCAGAAGTGGTTGCTGAGGTTACTAGGAAGCTAAAGAAAACAGAAGAAATGCTTAAAGAATGTAAAGAAACAGGTTGGTTGCGATTACATTTGCATCTCCAGAAAACAGCAACAATACTTCAGAGGAGTATGAGTAAGAAGACAGGTGTTGAGTGCCTAGCTCACAGCACAGAGAGCTGGTTGCAGCACATATCTGTTCTCTGGGCAAGTGTGTTCTGTTCTCACTTACCTCCCAGATATCCTCAACCAGGGGTAACAAGTAAAAGACGAAAGAAAGAAAGAAAGACAGAAAGAAAGACAGACAGACAGACAGACAGACAGAAAGAAAGAAAGAAAGAGAAAGAACCCTAGAAGATTCCTAGGGAGAATGGAAGATCCATCTGTTTTTTTCTCTACATAAAAGAAAAAAAAAATTTTCCCAAAGAGGAGCTGATTGGTATTGATCTAAACAGACAGCTTAAGAGTGGAAGTTTTTCTAAGAGGAAGAACTCTTTCCCCAAAAAGTAACCAGTTAATGATCAGGAACAGGCAGGAAACAGGGTTGTCTCCAAAAAAAAGAGGAATTTCTCTTTGAAGGAGAAGCCTTTCAGCAGTGAATCTAACGAAGCTGCTGGCAGCAAGAGCAGCAATTACAAAAAAAAAGAGAAATTTCCAAAAAATACCCCAGGAAGATCAGAACGGATATTCCCCCCCTACCATGGGGTAACCCTAAGGTGACATTTCCCAACCCATCTCCCATACCGAAATAAAAGCAAAAATTCACTCACAAAAAACAATGCCCATACACCCAAAGTGACCTACAGTTTCAAAGCAATCCCTATAACAAATTTCAATGGCATTTATCACAGAAATAGAAAAAGCAATTTTAACACATGTGTGGAACCACAATAGAGCCTGAAAGCCAAAGCCAGAACAAAGATAGAGGCATCATGATTCTTGATTTCAAACTATATTAAGCTAGAGTAATTAAAGAGTATGGTAATGGCATGTAAACAGGCACAGAGATCAAAAGAGAAGAGTACCCAGAAATAAATTCACCCATGGTAAATTATACAACAAAAGTAAATTCGTAACAAATGAGTCAAGAATAGATACAATGGGAAAGGACAGTGTCTCCAATAAATGCTATTGAGAAAACTGGCCAGCCACATGCAAAAGAATGAATCCAGATGACTATTTTACACCATACAAAAAACTAAAAATACCTCAAAATAGATTAAGACTGGAACATAAGAAATGAAATCGTAAAACCCCTAGAAGAAAAGGTAGGCGGTAAGCTCCTTCACAGTGGTCTTGGTGAAGATTCTTTTTTTTTTTTCCTGACACCAAAAACAAAAATTAACAAGTGGAATTACATCAAACTACAAAGCATCTGCTCAGCTATGGAAAACATTGAGAAAATGAAAAGGCAACCTACTGAAATGGAGAAATATTTGTGAATAATATATCTGATAATGGGTTAATATTTAAAATGTTAAAAATCTCATACAACTCATTAGCCCAAAAAAAAAAATTCCATTAAAAAAATGGGCAGACGATATGAATATAATCATCAAGACAATGCAAATCAAAACCACAATGAGATATCACCTCACACCTGTTAGAATGGTTATTATTTTTTGAAGAAGAAATAACTATTGTCAAGGATATGAAGAAATGGGAACACTCATGCACTATTGGTTCGAAGTAAACTGCTGTAGTATGGAAGTACTTCAGAATTCTACTTTTGGATATTTGTCTGAAGGAAATGAAAACAATAACTCAAAAGAAATATATGCACTCCTATGTTCACCACAGCATTTTTATTTTTGCTTTTTTTTTTTTACAACAGGCAAGATGTTGAAACCATTGCTGGATAAATGGATAAAGGAAATGTCATACACACACACAAACATGAAAACATCATTTAGTCAATAAAAAAGAAAATGTATTTATATACAATGGAATACTACTCTGCCATAAAAAATATCAACTCTTGTTATCTAAGACAACATGGATGGAACTGGAAGGGATTATGTTAAATGAAATAAGCCAGGTGGAGAAAGACAAATACTGGAAGATTTGCCCGTATGTGGAATAGAAACAAAATAATGAGTCAAATATCAACAAACCAAAAACAACCCCATCTTGCTCAATTCCAAACACTCATTTGCCATTCTTTCAAAAATGGGAAAGTAAGTAAGTTTAAGAAAAAGCTACAGATAACTGATATTTTGCATTAAGAAAATATAAAACAGTTCTGTAATTTTTGTCTACACACATAATTCACGATTCTATTTTGCCAACCTAAACAAGACAATCCCTCTTAAGGAAAAAAACTGAATATCACTCATAATGTTACTGGATCAAAAAGTATGAAATATCACAGTATTAATATTAGGGTAAAGTAGCTAAAATATTGCTAAATATTATTAAAATATTTACTTGAAATATAGGTAAAGTGTAGGAAAACTGGCTGATTAGTGGCACTTAACGAGAATGACACTATTAACATTAATATTCAGAATCCTATTTCAATGATGTCAGTAGGCTAGAGAGTTCCACACAGGCATAGATCAGAAACTATATCTAGCATTTTCTGACTGTTTCCTTCTCCAAAAGAAGTATGGGAGTGAGTTTTTGAAGATGAGTATGGGTAGGAGGGGGGAGAAGTGCATATGGCCATGAACATACTCTCTCTGTTTCTCTTATTGTTTTGTTTCTAAATAAACCTTATTTGTGGTTTTATTAGCTGATTGCCTTTTTGAGATCAACAACAGGAAAATAAACTTGCTCTGCAGCATAGATAAAATAATAAAATTCTAAAAGCCACCAAAAGGCTTAACTTCATATACCATTCTCAGAAGTCTTTCTCTTTTGTTATCAGTTACTGAAACAAAGGAAACTGAACAAAAATTGGTTGGCAGTCATGTGATTTTTGACAAGAGTACCAAGACCATTCAGTGGAAAAAGGATAGATCTTTTTTTTGCCCAACAAATGATGCTGGAAAAACTGGGTATTCACATACAAAAGAACAAAGTTAAATCCTTACATATTACCACACATAAAAATTGAATAAAAATAATGAAAGGCTTATATGGAAAACTAAAACTATAAAACACTTTTGTGAAAATATAGGAGAAAGCTTCATGATAGAGGATTTGGCAATGGTTTCTTGGCTATGACATCAATATCACAGGTAACAAAAGGAAAAAATAGATAAATGGTACTACAACAAAGTTAAAAATTTTTTGTGCAATGGGGCCTCCTCGGTGGCGCAGCGGTTGAGCGCTGGGTTGCAAAGCTGCCCGCGGCCTCTGTGGTGCCGGTTCGATCCCCAGCTGCTCCCTGGCCACCGGAGGAGGGTCCCGCATGGCGCGCAGACCTCTCCTGCCACCCGCTGCTCCCCTCAGCAGTGTACTTCGGTCCTTCTGCCTGCTCTGCTCCCCGCTCTGGCTCTGGTGAATTCTCTCACCCTCCCGCGCTTCTGACTGTACCCAGTGCTTGTATAAATAAATAAATAAATCTTTTAAAAAAAAAAATTTTGTGCATCATAGACCACAATCAACAGAATTAAAGGGCAAATTATAGAATGGCAGAAATATTTTCAAATCATATAGCTGAGAAGGGGCTAATATACAGAATAGAGAAAGTACTCTTACAAATCAACAATAACAACAACAACAAAAAACCCAACCTGATTAAAAAATGGGCGAAGGACAGGAATAGAAATTCACTAAATGGGGCTTCCCTGGTGGCTCAGGGGTTGGGGTCAGTACTGTCAAGCTATTGGCACTGCAGCATGAGTTCTATCTCCGGCCAAGGAGCTAACCCACATGGTGAGGCAGACCTCTCCTGTCTTGCCCACTGCTCCCCTCAGCAGTGAATTTCAGTAGATCTGCCTGTTCTACTCCCCACTCTGTCTCAAGTGAATCCTCTCACCATCCCCCTACATCTTGTATTCAAAATAAAAATGTGTCTTAAAAAAAAAAGAAATTCACTAAATGTGATATACAAATGATGAAGATGCTCAATACCACTAATTATTGAGAAATGCAAATCAAAACCACAGTGAGATACTACTTCACACTTATCACTATGGCTATTTAAAAAAAAAAAAAAAAAAAAAACCCAGAAAAGTGTCGATGAGGATGTGGAGAAATTGGAATCTCTGTGCACTACCATAGGAACACAAAATAGTGCTGATATGAAACAGCATGGCAGTTTCTTAAAAATATTGAAAACAGAATTACTGTATGCTCCAATAATTCCATTTCTGGACATATCTCCAAAGAAACTGAAAGACTCTTGAAGACCTATTTGTATATCTAGATCACTGCAACATTATTCACAACAGCCAAAAGGTGAAAGTAATCCAAGTATTCATCAACATATGAATGCATTTTTTAAATGTCATAAAGATAGTAGAAAGTTATACAGCCTTGAAAAGGAAGGAAATTTTGACGATGAATCCTGAAGACATTATGTTAATACATTATACAATACTGTATACTTTCTCTAATGTAAGGTACCTGGAATAGGCAAATTCATAGAGACACAAAGTAGAATGCCAGGAGTCAGGAGGAGAAGGGGAAGGGGAATTATTGTTTAACTGGTATAATGTTTCAGCTGGGAAGATGAAAAGTGCCCTGGAGATTGATGGTGTGATGGTTGTACAACAACATGCCACTAATCTGTCCACTTGAAAATAGCTAAAATTGTAAATTTTATTAAGAATATTTTACCACAAAAAATGTTGATTGCTCCTGTACCCCAATAATGACATATTCTTCAATATGGTGTCCACAAACAAACTACCTCTCCTGGATATCTTGAAAATGTGAGTCATTAAGTATTTGCTATATTAGCAAATCTAATTTAGAACTTCCTAACATAATGCCTTGGAGATATAAAAACATACCTTTACCCAAAAGCACATCTTTTCTTTTCTTTAGTCTCTATATGTAACATCTTACAGCAAAACATATGGATGCATTATAAGAAATTATAAGAAAGCAAAAAAGTTCAAATACATTACAAAAAGTTAACATGACAGTGTTAATTAACAAGTATCTGGGGCCTCCCCGGTGGCGCAGCGGTTGAGCGCTGGGTTGCGAAGCTGCCCGCAGCCTCTGCAGCGCCGGTTCGATCCCCGGCTGCTCCCCGGCCACCGGAGGAGGGTCCCACATGGCACGCAGACCTCTCCTGCCGCCCGCTGCTCCCCTCAGCAGTGTACTTCGGTCCTTCTGCCTGCTCTGCTCCCCTCTCTGGCTCTGGTGAATTCTCTCACCTTCCCGCGCTTCTGACTGTACCCAGTGCTTGTATAAATAAATAAATAAATAAATAAATACAAATAAATCTTTAAAAAAAAAAAACAAAAAAAAACCAAGTATCTGGAACATAGCTTTCAAACTAAGTATCACCATCCAGCTCAACCTCCTGTGAGAAGCTACACAAACTATTATAGCTCGGGCCTCTCCTGTGGCGCAGCGGTTGAGCGCTGGGTTGCGAAGCTGCCCGCAGCCTTTGCATTGCCGGTTCGATCCCCAGTTGCTCCCTGGCCACCAGAGGAGGGTCCCACATGGCGCGCAGACCTCTCCTGCCGCCCGCTGCTCCCCTCAGCAGTGTACTTCGGTCCTTCTGCCTGTTCTGCTCCCCGCTCTGGCTCTGGTGAATTCTCTCAGCCTCTCCGCGCTTCTGACTGTACCCAATGCTTGTATAAATAAATAAATAAATAAATAAATCTTTTAAAAAAAAAAAAAAAAAAAACTATTATAGCTCACTTTTCTTTGCAGTTACCTACATTCTTTACAGTTCAGTATCCATTATTGAAGACTTAATTTGCACAGGAATATTTTTTTTACTTCTCTAAAGAAATTTTACTGTTTTATATTCTAACCAATTACATCTACATGAACCACTGCTGTAAATTCGGTCTAAACTTTGTGAAATCCTTAAAAAACTGACCTGAACTACTAAATAGAAAATTCAAAAGGGACAATTCAAATAATCTTTACAGGGCCTCCCTGGTGGGGCAAGGGGTAAAGATGCAGCAACCTATGAAGCTGTCCGCAGCCACTGCAGCACAAGTTCGATCCCCAGCCAGGGAGGGAACCCACATGGAGCAGCAAACCTCTCCTGTCTCGCCCGCTGCTCCCCTCAGCAGTGTATTGCAGTCAGTCTGCCTGTTCTGTTCCCCGCATTGTCTCTGGCAAGTCCTCTCATCCCCACACCTCTGGCTTGTATCCCAGTTCTTGTATGCATACATAAATAAATCTTTAAAAAAAAAAAAGAATCTTTACAAAATTTATCAATAAACAATGGAATTAAAAATTAGTAACAAAGACTCAATTTGTGACTTATTTGCACCTACTACACAAGATAGAACATCAATTTTCCCATCCACGAGGATTTTCCTAATTACAAGACACACTACGTAAGACATTTATCATTTAACACATTAACAAATAATATAACATAATCATACCTGAGCAAAAAGGTAAGACATGACAAATTCATCAAGAAGAGGAGCTTCAGTACCTCGAGACACTCCATGCCGATAGGTTCTGTTGCTGCCATTACTATACCAGTAAGGAAAGTAAAATCTGCAAGACAATTAAAACTTCAGTTGGACTCTAAACAGTTCAAATATAAACATACTGTTATATATAACCACTTCCAGCAAACCAAAAGCTTCCCATAAATTAGAAAACACAGCTAACAATGTCAAATGTAAGTTAAGGGCAAAAGGAAGTCTAGATAGCTATACATAAGACTTTAAATAATAATATAGTGAGAAAACACAAGAAATATAAGCATAAAATCAATATACTGCCTTCATCCATGCATAGACTATAGAAGCAATTATAGGAAAGAGAAATACAGAAATAAAACATTAGCAAAAAAATTGTTAATCCAAGGGTCTCCCTGGTGGTCTAGGAGTTAAATCTGAGCACTGTCATCACTATGGCCTCAGTTTGACACCTGGCCAGGGAGCTAACCCACATGGCACAGCAGACCTCTCCTGTCTCGCCCGCTGCTCCCCTCAGCAGTATATTTCAGCAAACCCGCCTGTTCCGCTCCCCACTCTGTCTTTGGTGAATCCTCTCACCCCCGCACCTCTGGTCTACACCCCATTCCTTCTACACAAAAATAAATAATTTTTTTTAATTGCTAATCTAGTAGCATCAGTAGAGGTGTCTAAAAATGCTAATCTGTTGTAAAATCAAACAACTGCTTCTTCTTTTAATAAATGAAAGTTAATTTGTCTTTCAAGGAAATAAAAAATATTCTATATTGATTTTTTTAAAGATTTATTTATATATGCATACAAGAACTGGGGTGTAGGCCAGTGGTGCGGAGAGGTGAGAGGATTCACCAGAGGCAGAGTGGTAGCCGAACAGACAGATCGACTGAAATACACTGCTGAGGGGAGCAGCAGGAAAGACAGGAGAGGTCTGCTGCGCCATGTGGGTTAGTTCCCTGGCTGGGGATCAAACTCATGCTGCCATGGCTGCCGATAGCTTCATAGTGCTGAGACTTAACCCCCTGAGCCACCAGTGAGGCCCCAGATTTCTTGTAGTTTTACTGAACTTTAATTCACATACCATAAAGTTCACCTATTCAAAGAATAAAATTTAATGTTTTTGAGTATATTCACAGCATTGTACAAATATCATCACAATCTAATTTTAGAATATTTTCATCACCCTCAAAAAAAAATTCTATATCCATTAGTAGTCACCAATCACCCCTCTTGACTCTCCAAGCCTAATAATTTTAATTCTATAAACTCGCCCATTCTGGTCATTTTATATAAATGGAATCACATATATATGCCTTTTCTACCACCTTTCACATAGCGTAAGTACATCCACAACACAGCATTTATCAGTATCTCATCCCTTTTTATTGCTAAATTAATATTCTGTATTTTCATTTGTCATTGGATTATTAGCTATAAAAGTCCTTTATATATTCTATATAAAAAACCTTTATCAAATACATTATTTACAAACATTTTTTTCTATTCTGTGAGTTATGTTCCCACATTCTTGACAGTATAGTTTGAAGAACAAACATATTTTGATGAACTTCTATTAATCTATTTTTAGATTTTGTTACTGAAATTTTTGGTGTCCTACTGAAATCAGTGCCTAATCTAAGTAAACAAAGATTTATTCCCACATAGTCTATGAATTTTGTAGTTTTAGCTACTAAATTTGGGTCTAAAATTTAAATTATATTTTTGTTTGTAATATAAGGTAATGGTTTAACTTATTACTTTAAATATGGGTATCCAGCTTTCTCAACACCATTTATTGAAAAGACTCTTCTTTCCCCATAAAAATTGTCTTGGCACATTTGTCAAAAATCAATTACTGTCAATATGAGTGAGCAATTTTGGATTCTCAGTTCTATACCATTCATCTATATATCTGTCCTTTAATCAGTACCACACGGTCTTGATTACTACACCTATGGAGTTAAGTTTTGAAATTAGGAAGTGTGAATCATCCAATTTTGTTCTTTTTCAAGATAATTTTTTCTAGTCCAAGTTCCTCTGATTTTTACATGAATTTTAAGATTCACTTGTCAATTTCTGCAATGAAAACTGGGATTTCAGTACAGATTGTATTGAATATATACATCAATGGTTTATGGCCACCTTACTAAAATTTAAAATTCTATTCCATAAATGTGAGAGCTCCCCATTTATTTTGTTTCTTTAATTTCTCTCAATGTTTCTCTGTACACAGGTTTTGCACTACTGTTATTAGGTTTATTCCTAAGTATTTTTTATGCTACTGTAAATGAAATTGTTTTAATTTCACATTAAGTTTGCTCATCGTCAGCATGTAGAAATACAATTGATTTTTGCATATTGATATTTACTCCTGCAAATAATTCTAATATTTATTAATTTCTTAGTTTTTTTATATATAAGATCATAGTATCTATGAACAGAGTTTTACTTTTCCAAATTGGATGCCTTTTCTTTCTTTCTCTTGCCTAATTTCCCTGCCTAGAATCTATGATACAGTGTTATATAGAAGTGGTGAGAGCAAATATTCTTGTTTTGTTCCTGACCAAAAGGGAAAAAAGCATTCAGTCTTTCAACATCAAATATAGTGTTAGCTTTGGGTTTTTCATAGCTGCCCATTATCAGATTATCCATTCTATTATGTTCAGTATTTTTATGATATGATATTGAATTCTGTCTTTTTTTTTTTTTTTTGGATGTATGTGTCTACTGAAATGCCATATAGTTTTAGTTCTTCATTTCACTAATATGGTGCGTTGCATTGATTGATTTGGGACTGTTAAAGCAATTTTATATATTTTCTGGGATAAACCCTACCTCATCATACTATTTAATCCTTTGTATATATTGTTGGATATAGTTTGCTAGGATTTTGTTCAAAATTTTTACATATATTCACAATAAATATTGCTGTATAGTTTTGTTCTCAATGTCTTTGTATGTACTTGGTTTCAGTATAATACTGAACTCAGAGAAAAAACTGGAAAATGTTCCCTCCTTTTCACTTTTTGTAAATAAATGGCAGTGCTTCACCTTTAAATGTTTGATAATATTGACCAGTAAAGTCATTTGGGCCAAGATAATTTAAAATCATTAATTCAATTTCTTTACTTGTTATAGGTATAGTTAGACTTTCTAATTTATTTTGTCACTTCCTATAGTTTGGGTCTTTCTAGGTATTTGTCCATTTCATTGTGATTTTGTACTGTATTGGCATTTTTAATTTTGTAAGACCTTAGAGATGTTCATACTTTTATTCTCAATTTAATAATTCAACCTCCTCTCTCTCTTTTTTTAATCTTGGACAAACTAGCTAAGAATTTATCAATACTGTTGATTTTTTCAAAGAACTAACTTGGTTTCATTGATTTTCTCCACTGGGTTTCTATTTTCTGTTTCTATTTTGATCTTTATTATTTCCTTCCTTCAACTTGCTTTAAGTCTTATTTACTGTTCTTTTTCTACTTTCTTGGTATGGAAGTTACTTATTTGGGAACTTTTTAAACCTAAGTGTTTACAGTAATGAATTAAGCAATAAATACTGTTTTTACTGCATACTGCAAGTTTAGATAAACTGCATTTTCTTTGTCATTTGCATTAAAATATTTTCTATTTTTAATTGGCAAAACACAGCTCTTCTGCCTGTCTGTGACTATGCAGGTACATCTCTTTGTCTTTCTATTTTTCTTAATAAATAAACCTGTCCTTAAAATATTTTTATATATATTACATATTTATATATATATTTATATATAATTATAATATATATTCTATTATATATATTCTATTTTCCCTTGTGATTTCTTCCTTGACCCACTGGTAATGTAGAAATCGTCAATTACCATCTATCTATGAATTTCCAGTTTTCTTTCTGTTACTGATTCCTAATGTAATTACACTGTGGTCAGAGGACATAGTTGGTATGCTTTCAACCTTTAAATTTGTTGAGACTTGTTTTGTGCTCTAAAATATAGTTTATCATGGAGAATGTTCCAATTACACTCGAAAAGAATGTAGATTGTGCTGTTGTTGGGTATTCTCTCTCTCTTTCTCTCTCTCTATACATACATACATATATATATATATATATATATATATATATATATATATATATATACACACACAGCTAGATTACAGAGTTCTTCAAGTCTCCTACTTTCCTACTGATTTTCTGTCTAGAGGTCCTATCCATTACTCAAAGTGAGGTACTGATGTCTCCAAGTATCCCTGTTGAATTGTCTATTTCCCACTACTACTATGCCAGTTGTTGCTTCTTGTATTTTGGAGCTTTGTTCAGTTATATCTAATTTAAGTTATAGGTAATGTTCATAATTGTCACATTTTCCAAAGGAATTGACTCTTTCATCATTATAAAATATCCCCTCTTTAGTGATAATTCTCTTAAAGTCAATATTGTCTTATATTAACATAGCTGTCCCGTTCCTTTTTGGTTTACTATGTGCCTAAAATCTGTCTTTTGATATGAGTTTATTCTATTTACATTTAAGGCAATTACTATTAACAGAGTATTCATGTCTGTTAGTTTGTCTCATTTTGTACATGGCTATGTCTTTTCTGTTTATTTATTCCTCCATTATTGTTTCCTTACATGTTAAAAAGAAATTTTCTAATCTATCACTTTAAGTAACTTATTTCTTTACTACACATTTTTATTTATTTTCTTAGGAATTTTCTAGGGAACTACAATTAATATTTTAATTTAAAACACTGGTTCACATTAATATCAATTTTATTTCAATATTATAGAAAAACTTTGATCCATTCCCTTTATGCTATTATTGTAACACAAATTACATCTTTATGCATCACAAGCACTTCAACAGTTTTAAATGTATTGTTCTTCTGTGCTGTTTTGATATAATCCCTATATAAATAATAAAAGAAATGCAAAATACTCTTTGAACAACAGGAAAGTGGCATTTTAAAAATTATTTAAAAACCTCCTTTTGGATCATTTCTGACTAGAATTTCCTGGGAAGTGATGGATATGTAACCTCTCTCTCTTAGTTTAAGAATAGAAGTAATTCATGAATTGATAAGGAAAATATTTTTTAATTCTTGAGAAGAGGTCAGCAAACTATTGTCCATAAGCTTCATTTCATCCACTGTCAGTTTTTGTAAGTAAAGTTATACTAGACACAATTATGCCCATTAAAGTCTTAACTATGGATAGATTTAAACCTAGGTACCTTATGTTTTTGTTCGTATTATAATTACTATTATTATTATTATTATTTTCTTTATTGTGTAATATTGGTTTACAACACTGTATATGACTTAGGGGAGAAATGTCTATCTAGCTCTTATGCTCACTTTTCTACTGGGTTCTTCGTTTTCTTCTTCTTGAGTTGTATGAGTTCTTTGTAGATCTTGGATCTTTGTAGTCTTGTCAGATGTAGGATGTGCAAATAATTTCTCCCATTCAGTAAGGTGTCTTTTTGTATTAATGATTGTTTCTTTCCCTACACAGAAGATTTTTAGCTTATGTAGTCTTACTTGTTTATTACTGCTTTTGTTCTCCTAGTCACTGGAGTTGAGTTCCCAAAGACAACCATTAACTCAATGTCTTAGAGTGTTTTAGCTATGTTTTATTCTATATATCTTATGGTTTCTAGTCTTACCTTCACTTTGAGTTAATTTTTGGGTATGGTGATGTATGTGTTGGACAGAGACAAGTGTGGCTCTAGTCTCTGCAGCTTCAGTTCCTGGCTTGTACGTATTTGGCTCCTGTTCAAGGTTTGCCCTCAGACCTCCATAGCTGGCCATACTCTACTCCACTGGCTCCCTGTGTTTACCTTCAGGCCCTTTTCATGTGCAGTTATCTTCTTTCTTCACACATGCAGAAGATTTCAGTCTCTCCTCAAAGGAGGTTGGTTACAGCTTACTCTGCTGAGGCATGATGCCCTGTACCCCCATACTGCCTGGACTCTAGACTCTGGATTCTGACTCTGGGGTAAGACAAACTCATATTGTTGTTTCTCCCGGTGTGCCTGCCTTTTTTTTTTTTTTTATCAAAATCCAGAAATTATGATTTATTGTTATAAAAATATTGTTTTTCACAATGTTTACTGAGGTAAAGTAGGTTTACACTGCTCTATCTATCTGCTTTGGAGGTTATAGGGTTAAACATCTACAAATGTTTATTTTCACACCCTGCCAACAACCAGTGCTCCAATAATTCTCCATCTGGTTCCAGTGGGCCCCTTCCCATCCACACTCTCACTGCCCCCATCTCTCCCTCTAGTTGCCTCAGTCTTACAGTCAGATGTCTGTTCTTGAATCATGTCTTGCAGTCATAAATGCAACTGGTTCATCCTCTTTTCCCTGTTTTGATCAGTTTCAATCCTGAGTTAAGGAATGATTGGGGCTATCTTTATTTACTTATCTAGCTCCTGATTTTAAAGAGAATGTTTCAATACCTTACCATTTAAGAATATTATTTAGTACATCATGTTTGTAAGTATCCTTTATCAGTGTAAAGGACAAAAATCTTGAGTTTTAGTTTATTAAGGTCCTTTTCTTTTCCTTTTAAAATTGTGAATGAGGGCCTCCCCTGGTGGCGCAGGCGGTTGAGCGCAGCGCTGTGAAGCTGTCCACTGCCTCTGCAGCACGGGTTCGATCCCGGCTGGCCGGCCAGAATCCCACATGGCGCAGCAGACCTCTCCTGTCTTGCCCGCTGCTCCCCTCAGCAGTGTATTTCAGTCAGTCTGCCTGTTCTGTCTCCCTCTCTGTCTCTGGTGAGTCCTCTCACCCTCCTGCACATCCGGCCTATACCCCAGTTGTTGTATACATGAATAAATAAATCTTAAAAAAATAAAATAAAATAAATAAAATTATGAATGAGTCTATGCTCCTTTATAGTATGCAACACAGACTCTACATGGAATATACCTATTCATAAATAAGAGCCACAGATCAGATTTTTTTTGTTTCATCCTTTTGAGTAGAAAAATATCTCTCAATTTTTCTAAATTGGTAGAAAATATTCCCATAAGTTATTAAATTAACTATAAATAAACACTGCCAAAATCTTATCTTACCTTCACTGTAATTTTTTTTAATTTAATTTAATTTTTTTTTTAAAGATTTATTTTTTCATTTACACAAGATCCAGGGTACAGGCCAGATGCGTGGGAGGGTGAGAGGATTCACCAGAGACAGAGTGTGGAACAGAACAGGCAGACTGATGAAATACACTGCTGAGGGAAGCAGTGGGCGTAAAAGGAGAGGTCTGCTGCGCCATGTGGGACCCTCGCCGGCCAGCCGGGATAGAACCAGCACTGCAGAGGCTGCAGACAGCTTCACAGCCTGGCACTCAACCGCCTGCGCCACCAGGGGAGGCCCCTTTACTATAATTTTTAAAAAGTTATCTATAAAGAAGAGATGTGAGATTACTAATTTTATTGCACAAAACACTGAATTTCCTGATAAATCAGCAATATTCCAAACACATAGGATTTTACTAGTAAAGACCACACTCATACATTTAAAATTATCTTTAGGGAATTCTCATCCCTAGAGTGACCAACTGTGCCTATAGGCATCTCTTAACAAACCTGTCCCTTTCAGCAATAACTCTCCTGCATACCTGTGACTATGCAGGCACCACTCCTTTTCCTAATAACCCTGCCCTTTTAAAATGTAAAAAAATAAAACAAGATAAAAATATCTTTAATTATAATAAGTGGTAAAGTAGCATCCCATCAGAATAGCTTTATTTTCAGAGCATTCTAATCACTTTCTTTAGTGGAAAAACAAAGTATTAAATGAAGATCAAATGTTAACTAATTCTAGTTTGTGTTACTAAGTACCTTGCAATTGAAAATTATGTTTTTTGATAATTTCTCTACTTTGCCCTTTCACTGTCAGTGAGTCATTTAACTGGAGAAATTACCTTATTCTGTAGAGTACATTGTGCCTGGTTGACTCATCTATATGGAAGACATGGTTGGGTGGATACCACATCCTTTCTTCTTCACTCATTAAAGCAAACATACTATGATACACGGGTGTGATTCCTAGGAAAGAAACAGAAAAGGAAATGATTATAGAAGGTTAAACATACATTTACATAACTTCTATAATTTATAATGGAGCTAAAGTAAAAACTCTTTTTTTTCCCTTTTTTTCCTTTTTAAATGAAGTAACTACTCTTAAAAGCAGCACAAAAGGCAGTAGCAGTAGAAATATTTTGGTTCAACAACACAACTGAACTCTTACTATCTATTTGGCCTATATTTTAAAATATGACTGTTGGAACCCTTTTAAGTAGATTTTTAAAAAGATTTTATCCTTTTTTTTTTTTTTTTTTTTTGCTTTTCTTCTACAGAAAGATTGATTCAAATCTCTGTGTGTATTTTAATTGGTAATGAAGGTATCAATTCACTCAAATATTCAGAAGTCACTTTTAAAAGAACAATAAAACAGCATTATTTGTAAATGTCAATTCTTATATAATATGGTAGCTATACACTTTACATTATATAAACCTGCAATGAGAAAATTTTAATGTCACCTTAAAGTGCCAGGGTATGTTATTATTTTCAAAGATATTTTAGGAAGCACATTAACAAAAGGTTGAAAGTCACTGAACTAAAATGCATATAGAACACTTACAGCCACAAAATCTAATAATGTTTATTATTTCCAAGCATATATAAAACAATTCACACATACAAATCATGTGGAGGCTAAACACAAGTCTCCCATGTTTCTAACCACACTTCATTTGAATCAGATATAAGTAGTGAAAATTTTAAATCCCATCTATTTAAAAACATAATCTCACAGAAGGCAAAATCTGTGTTTTCATTCTTTTCCATTGTACCAAAATGACAGAACCATATCACACTGACAACAAAGATTTACATTTTTTTAAAAAGATTTATTTATTTATTTTATACAAGAACTGGGGTATAGGTCAGAAGCACGGGAGGGTAAGAGAATTCACCAGAGCCAAAGCGGGGAGCAGAGCAGGCAGACGGACCGAAGACACTGCTGAGGGGAGCAGTGGGCGAGGCAGGAGAGGTCTACTGTGCCATGTGGGGTTCCCCCTGGCCGGCGGGGAATTGAACCGGCACTGCAGAGACTGCAGACAGCTTCACAGCATGGCGATCAACTGTTGCACCACCGGGGAGACCCAAAGATTTAAATTTTTAAAATTTAAATTATTAACACACTGTCTACTCATAGAATGTAATCAATAAACAATACATAAAATCATAAAAGTGTAAGCTTGCATTTTTCCTAGCATTTACAAATAGTTCTAAATATCTCACAGATCAAAGGAGAAATTGGAACGTGAAAGAATTTACAATGAATGATGAAATTTAAAATACCATGAATTAATAATATGGACTATAACTTCAGTGATACCAAAAGCGAAAATTGTAGCTTTAATATACTTATATAAGGGGTTCTCCTTGGTGGCACAAGGGGTTAAGATGCAACCTTTGAAGCTATCAGCAGCCACTGCAGCATGAGTTTGATCCCTGGTCAGGGAGATACCCACATGGCACAGCAGACCTCTGCTGACTCGCCTGCTGCTCCCCTCAGCCGCGTATGTCAGTCTATCTGCCCGTTCTGTTCCCCACTCTGTCTCTGGTGAATCCTCTCAACCCCACACCTCTGACCTGTACCCCAGTTCTTGTATGCATAAATAAATAAATCTTTAAATATATATATATACTTACATAAAAAGGTAACAGAGAATGACCTAAGTAATATAAATCAATCTGTTAGATATTGAGAGTAATCCCAAAAAAAGTTGAAAGAAGGAAATGACACAGTAGAAATTAACAGAGAATAAAATTTATATAGAGAATCAACAAAATAAAAGCTGACTCTTTACAATGATTAACAAAATAAACAAGTCTTTGTCAAATCTGACCTAGAAAAAAATGAGACATAAATAAGCACTAAGAATTATGATTATTATTGTTTTAAGATTTATTTTTATTTATGCCTACAAGAACTGAGGTGTAGGCCAGAGGTATGGGGGAGGGAAAGAATTCACCAGAGACAAGAGTGGGGAGCAGAACAGGCAGATCTACTAAAATACACTGCTGAGGTGGGCAGTACGTGAGCTAGGAGCGGTCTGCTGGCTCCTGTCTTGGGGATCAAACTCAGCTAGAGTGGCTGCCGATAGTTTCATAGCGCTGACTTTAACCCCTGTGCCACCAGGGAGACCCCAGCACCAAGAATTTTTTTTTTTTAAGATTTATTTATTTATACAAGCACTGGGGTACAGGCCAGACGTGTGGGAGGGCGAGAGAATTTACCAGAGACAAAGCAGGGAGCAGAATAGGCAGAGGGACCGAAATACACTGCTGAGGGGAATAGCGGGCGTGACAGAAAAGGTCTGCCTCACCATGTGGGGATCTCCCTGGCCAGCAGGGAATCGAACCGGCACTGCAGAGGCTGCAGACAGCTTCATGGCACTGCTCTTAACCCACTGTGCCGCCAGGGAAGCCCCAATTTTAAAATGTAATTTAAAAAAAAAAGTTTTTAAAGATTTATTTATTTGATTACAAGAACTGGGGTACAGGCCAGAGGTGTGGGAGGTGAGAGGATTCACCAGAGACAGAGTGGGGAACAGAACAGGCAGATAGACCAAAGTACACTGGTGAAGGGAGCAGCAGGAGAGTCAGGAGAGGTCTGCTGTGCCATGTGGGTAGCTCCCTGGCCAGCCAGGGATTGAACTCACGCTGTAGAGGCTGCAGACAGCTTCACAGCGCTGCGCTTAACCCTTTGCGCCACCTGGGAGGCCCTAAAATGTAATTATTGATTATAAAGACAAGACAGTGTTAGAATAACATTATGACAAAAATTTTGAAAATGTACACAAATGGACTTTTTTTTAAAAAACTTTTAAAATGAATTCAAGAATGAAAGACTTCAACAGAACTACAGCCATTAAAAAACAATTTATCCACTTAAAATAATGGAGGAAAAGAAAGGAAGAAGAAGGAAAGAAAAAGAAGAATGAGAAAGTAGAAGGAAAAAACCACCATTAGGTCAAGATGAGATTTATATGTGAGTTCAACCAAACATGAATGACAATTCAAAGAGAACAGAGAATTTGACACATTTGGGGGTTTAATTTGACCATAATACCAAAATTATACAAAGACATAACGAAAGGAAAATCTCACATACCAAAACAGATACGAAAATCCTAAACTATCAATAAATATTAGCAAACTAAATATAGCAATATTTCTTTTCAAAAATTATGACAACATTCATTTGCTCTAAGATTGAAGAGATGTTAAATTAGAAAATTACAATTCATCACATAGGTATTAGAGAAAATTTTTCAGTAAAATGGTGAAATGATAAATTTGAAAGGCTGGGTAGACTGATAAATGTGTTTCTATGTGAAGTATTACTTTAAATATTTTAGAACAAAAAGTCAGGGTTAAAATGGTAAAATTAAAAGTGAAAATGGCATAAAAAAGGTAATATCTATTCATAATGGAGTAAATCCGCATGACTAATAAACATATGAAAGAATGTAATTCCTAGTATTGAAGGAAACGAAAATTTAAAGTATCTGATATAACTTTATAACCACTTAACTAATAAAAATAATAAGGGGAATAAAATCTATTACTGAGTGAATTGCAATAATTCCTAAAAATGTAAGTTGGGTCTGTTGTGGAGATAATAACACCTATATAATTTTGAGAAAATCAATATCAATAAAAATCAAATGGTGTCTTAGTTAAGGATGCTGTAACAAAACACCTTAGACTGAGTGGCTCCAAAGCAATAGGTATTTTACTTATCACAGTTCTGGAGACTGGCAGTCTGAAACTATCAGTTTTGCAAGTTATCAAAGAATGTCATTTCATTCAACATCATTTCTTTATGTTGATTTTGAAAAAGGCAATCTACTTCCAGGACCACGTGCATGTTCTCCTCATGCCTGTGTAGGGTTTCTCTTGATACTCCAGTTTCCTACCACATTCCCAAAAATGCACATTAGGTTAGTTGGTATGTCCAAATTGTTTCAATAGGAGTTTGGGTGTACACTGAATATGCCCAGTGAACTGCTTTCCATCTAAGACCCTACACTGGAATTAGCAGGTTGGAAAATGCATGGAGGAATGAATGAATACAAATTATTATTTAATATTAGAAGTGTTTAATATTAAAGGTCTTTATTTTAAAATTTGATGATGTTTTTGAGACCAGAAAAATGCCATAGGAGCTTAACTCTTATTTATATCAATTAGCTTTATGACAAAATTGGTTTCATTACCCATCATTTCCCTTAAAGTTGAATTTCCAAGAACCTATCAAATAAGTGAGGATTTACTATGGTCAGGTTCTGGTAAAATACACTTCTCTGTTTCAGACTGACAATGTCTTGTTATTCGCATAGTGGAGAGCAGAAAAGGGAAGTAAGCCTTCTCATCACTCATATAAAGGCACTAATTCTATTTATTAGGGCTCCACCTTCACGATCTCATTGAATTCTAATTATCTCCCAAAGACGTCACCTTCTATTATTATTATATTGGTCAGTACAGTTTTACCATATGAGTTCTGAGAAAACACCTTCAGTCCAAAACATGGTAAGTCAAATTACACAGTCATGTATCTAGCACAAGTCAAATATCATGAAATACAAATGTCTACATTTGCCATTTGAGATTTATCTATCTATTTATTTATTTATTTATACAAGCACTGGGTACAGTCAAAAGCGCAGGAGGGTGAGCAAATTCACCAGAGCCAGAGCGGGGAACAGAACAGGCAGACAGACAAAATGCACTGCTGAGGGGAGCAGCGGGCGAGACAGGAGAGGTTGTCATGCCATGTGGCACCCTTGCCGCTGGCCAGGGATTGAACCAGCGCTGCAGAAGCTGCGGCTGCGGGCAGCTTCACAGCCCAGCGCTCAACTGCTGTTCCACCAGGGGAGGCCCTACATTTGCCATTTGTAGGACTTTATTTTAGTCCTAATAGGAAAAAATATGAATTGTCAAAATAATATATGTGCACATACTTTACCACACCAAGACACACATACCATCAATATCAATGTCTGTCTTCCAATTTCAAAGGAATTCAGGTCAATTTTTTAATTTAAAACTAAAAATGACAAAAATAACTAACACTTTATAGAGAACTTTCTATGTGCTATATGGCTTCTATGTGCTTTAAGAACTATCAGTAATAATAGTATACACCCCATCTGAGTGGGGAGATGAGGAAGCTGAGGCACAGAGCTAATAAAAATAGTGGAGCAAGGAGACAAACCCAGTTACTATGGTGCTTATTCTTTACCATTATGCATACTGCCTTTGCTGAGTTTCAGGACCATACTTATAATAAATCTCCATAAAACTGACCAGACAGCGTTGTGAAGACATGAAGTACATCCTGAATCAAAGAATAAGTTATGTTCATATATTTTCAACATCATAGTTGTTTTTTAGGTTTTAAATTATCTCCCAATGGATCTACCACATGATCCAGTGATTCTATTCCTAGGACTCTGCCCAAAAAACACAAAAACACTAATCTGACAGGAAACCTACATTCCTATATTTATTGCAGTACTATTTATAATAGCTAAGATATGGAAATAACCTAAATCCCCCAAAAACAGATTAATGGAGCAAGAAGATGTGGTATACATACACAATGGAATACTACTTAATAATCAAAAAAGATGAACTCATACCATTTGTCACAATATGGCTGGAGCTGGAAGGGATTATGCTGGCAAAATAAGTCAGAAGGAAAAAGATAAGTATCAGATACTTTCACTTATATGTGGAATACAGAGAAACCAAACAAAGCATAAGGAAAAAGACAAAACTTAAAAGCTGACCATAGATCTGAGGCATACAGCAGGGGATGGGGGGAGAGAGAGGCAAAAATAAGGGAAGGCAGAGCACAAGAGACTATGGTGATGGTTAACGGGTGCTGTGGTAGTAGGGAAATTATGGGGACTACACCTGAGGGGAGAATAAATACTGTCCAAAAATTAACAATAACTGTAAGAAAATAAATAAATTTAATTTAAAAAATTATCTCCAAATAAATTAGATTATTAGCCACATTGTGTGGGTGTTAACATACAAAATGTCCATATTCAAGATCTGTGTTGATGTTTCAAATGTTTAATCAAGTACAAAAACATATATGTCCTTGGAAAAACAAAGGTTAGAAACGGAATTAAAATTTTATCCTAGGGGCCTCCCAGGTGGTGCAGAGAGTTGAGTGCAGCATTGTGAAGCTGTCCGCAGTCTGTGCAGCGCGGATTCGATTCCAGGCTGGCCAGGGAGATTCCCACATGGTGTGGCAGACCTCTCCTGTCTCGCTTGCTGCTCCCCTCAGCTGTATTTTGGTCGTCTGCCTGTCCTGATCCCCGCTCTGTCTCTGGTTAGTCCTCTCATCCTCCCATGCCTCTGGCCTGTACCCCAGTTCTTGTATGAAAAAAAAATTTTATCCTAGTATCTTTATAGCAACAGTAAGTGATCAGTATGTTTTTTCTACATCTGCAAACATAAAATTTACCTTTAAAAGCATAAAGGGACTTACTACTTAGTAGATATGTTAATGTGACATCAGTTTTATCTTAAGTTGAATTCAACATATACTGGTATCCAGCTTCTACTGAGGTCAGACCAGTGAATTTTTCTTAACCAAGAAATAAAGATGCATCTTGACTAGGGAAGCAAATAGCAGGCCTTTCCCTTTTTTATGCTTAGTGCACTTTCTACAAATACGCTTCAGGACCTCAGAATTTCTTCTAAACAAAATTTTATAGGTATTTTTGACAATAAGGTACCTTCTGCAAGAAAAACAATGTATTTGCCATCCTCCCATTTATTTCTGGACAAAAGTTAATCTTGAGAATTATTCAACAGAGTTAAATATATGGCTGTCCCAGTGGCACTCAAGAGAAGTGTGACACAATTAACATAATCTTAGCACAGCTCCTTGGGGTGGACAGAGCACCTGGTATGGAATCAGAAGCAGCAGTGAGCAGAACTGCACCTGCAGGGGTAGCAACCTGTGAACCAAAGAGTGCAAGAAAGGGGTTGGGAGGATCTACTCACCCATGCAACCCCACTTCTACTCTGACTACAATCTGAATGCCAATGTGGAGTACCACCCTACATCATTTGCCTGTTTTACAAAGAGATGAAGATGCTGACCACTGACCCTCCCAACCACATCAAGATCTTTTCCAATGAGAAGGACCTCACAGACCTGCAAGTCACCTTCATCCTCAGGAAACCCCTTACCTAAGAGGTTTGTTCAGCATGAAATTCCTATTGCGGAAGGGCTTTCCTGCCTTCCCACCCAAGGGCTTCTTTCTGACCATGATCTTCTAGCCAAATGTGGGGGCCAACAATAAAATCTATGTCAACATGCACAGGAAGAACTGGTTCATCTTCTAATTAATCTCCCGCTATGACCACTCATAGCAGAAAAGGCAAAGGAACTCTCTAGGATCCTTTTTATATTAGCACTAATCACACTCATGAATCATCCACCCTGATGACTCCCAAAAACAAACATTCAATCTATAGTACCAGCCGAAGTAGTATTTATCCTAAATTCTACTCTAATGATATTCTCATTTCTATTCATGCAAAAAATACCTATCAGTCATGTAAACACTTTCTAAAAGCTCAACAAAATAAATTATACATGTACAATGTACATAAGCAGCATAGTTAAAGAAACGACCTATTCACAAAAAGTTGTTTTTGAATACTTACCACAAGCTTTAGAAGCAGCAACACAAATTTCTTCAGCAACATACTCCCCAGTTGAAAACTTCAGGCAATCTCCTTCAGCCTTCCCAAGAGAGTGATAGAGATACACCTGTAGGACTGGATCTATTTGCTTCACAGAATTAGCATTTCCAGGAATATCACCATTCTGATGTAAGGGAGATGCTGATGTTCCTTCCATTTCTGTCATTGTAAGGCAAGCCATTAAGAGTCTTTTTCAAAACATTTGCCTGCAAGAAAAAGTAAAATTAGTAAAATATTGATCAGGAATCTTTCATATACAAAGAAATCTTCACTAATAGCAGTAACACTGTTAAATCCATTAGATGAATAAATACTGTGCACTACTATATATAAAGTATGGTGAGAGAACACAAAAAATTATAAGTCCTATATGTAAGACCCATAAATGTAAATAGGTAACATGAACAAAACGGCAAACAAAATCAATTATAGAAAGAAGAAAAAGAGATCTCATGAGGCAACATGACTTCTCAACAACTGAATTACTTTACAATTGTTTACTGGTATTTAGAGGAGAAAAATAACATTTCAAGTTGGGACAATCTGATGAACTTTATTAGAAGAGGTCATATTTAAAACTGATCTTGAACAATGGATTGGATTTAGATAGATAGGGAGATAGTGAAACTATGCTGAAGAGTAGGAGGGCACAAATATTTCAATAATTTAGGGGGTTGCAGTGACATATTTGAGCAGTTATATCACTAATGAAAGTTTAAAAATATAAACATTTATGACAGGATTGTAGCTACTGACTCAATCTGTGTTTTTCCCTTCTTCCTTGCCATGGAAGCCCAATTTGGTGGGTGGGAGTATAGGGTGAGTAGCAATATACACACACACAAAACTATGCTTCCCCACAGATGGATAGCCACATAAACCAGTTTTACAGCAAACTAGATTTGGTTGGTGTTGGTTGCATAGTACCTCCCAGAATCACTCTTTAAAAGGAAGGTGACTTAGTTGGCATCACAGATTTTTATCCTGTGTTAATTTAATTTCCAAATTGTATTTTTACTTGCTCCTTCAGTTAAGAAACTGTTCCTTAAATTGCATTTCAAAGAATGTCTCTCGGGTTCTAAAAAAAAAAGACAGGCAGAAAATTTAGACTTTTGCTTCCTAAGGTCAGATTTTTTTCTTCTTCTCTAAATAGCGGGAAGATATTTCATATAGGTGGATTCTGAATTGATTTTGGTCTTGCAAAGACTCCATTTGTATGACAAAGTCTAAATCCTCAAAGAATTTTGATTGTAGCCAGTATATTATAAGGTTATATTATAAGGTTAAGCCAGTATATTATAAGCACACTCGGGCCTCCCCGGTGGCGCAGCGGTTGAGCGCTGGGTTGCGAAGCTGCCTGCGGCCTCTGCGGCGCCGGTTCGATCCCCGGCTGCTCCCAGGCCACCGGAGGAGGGTCCCACATGGTGCGCAGACCTCTCCTGCTGCCCGCTGCTCCCCTCAGCAGTGTACTTCGGTCCTTCTGCCTGCTCTGCTCCCCGCTCTGGCTCTGGTGAATTCTCTCACCCTCCCACGCTTCTGACTGTACCCAGTGCATGTATAAACAAAACAAACAAACAAACAAATAAATAAAACATGCCTCTATAAAAGAAAGAAAAAAAAACTTAAAAAAAAAAAAAAAAACTATATAAGCACACTCAACTACATTTTTCTCTAGTATCCTTTTATATCAATGAGGTTTCCAATATAAAATGGAAAAATAAGATTCTTATTTAACAACAATTAAAACTTCATGGACACAACACTAGAACCATTCCAAAGAAAACCAAAAACCATTATAGGATAGTTTCCCTGAGAGTTGGTAAGAAAACTTAGAAGGAGTAAAGTTCTTGCTTTTTGTTCAAGGACTTGGTTGAGACCAACCAACTCCACTTCTCAGAAAGACAGAAAAACAAACATATCATTCAATCCTATATTTCTTACAAAAAATACAAAAGACAGATCAGCAGTTATGGTGTAAGACGAACAACCTTCAAGATAGTGGATGGCATTTATAGCCAATTCAATGGTAAAAGGGGGAGTTTTCCAGACTCTAACCCCTGAATCCCTAAACTAGAGGCAGAGTGGAGGCACCCTATAAGGCTTAAAAAGACTAAATATTGGTGGGTTGGGTCTCTATTTTAGCTTCTTCTTACACTCTGATCTCTGTTCAGCTGTTAGGACAGATAGCATCTTGCCACATGTTGGTCAATAAATTTTCTTCTCCTTCCCTCTCTTTTCTCACATCTTGTATATTAAAGCCTTTGATTTTTTAAAAATTTCTCTCTGTATCTCTGCTTTTGTATCTTATCTTGTATTCTTAAGCATATGGGTGACAACTCACTAAACAGGTCATCCCCATTCCCCTAAATTTGCCCAGTGATAAAAGGATATGTAGAGAAGAACAAGAATGGGGATAGATTAAGATACCTTATTTTACATTCTGCTGTTCACTGAGCTTAATCAACTTTGGATTAAAAAAAAAACCCTTCTCTGGGCCTCCCTTGTGGCGCAGGTGGTTGAGCGAGGTGCTATGAGGCTGTCCGTGGCCTCTGCAGTGCCGGTTCAATCCCCGCCGGCCACAGAGCAATCCACATGGCAAGCAGACCTCTCCTGTCTCGCCCGCTGCTCCCCTCAGCAATGTATTTCAGTCCGTTTGGCTATTCTGCTCCCCACTCTGTCTCTGGTGAATCCTCTCACCCTCCCGCGCCTCTGGCCTGTACCCTGGTTCTTGTATTAAAAAAAAAAAAAAAAGAAAAAACAACCCTTCTCTAAATTTAGAGCTTTGAATTTAGTATACAAAGCTTCAGAAGTGCAAGAGTTTCCTAGTGGCCACACTAAACTCAAAATATCTTTGATAATATCAGCCCAATTTATTGAAGAGAATTTGTAACAGTAAGGTCATAATCCTTATAAGACAAAATTTTAAATCAATTTCTGTACTTTTCTTACTCAAAAAATTTCCAAAGGCTCAAGATACTTCTCTACATTTTTTTCACTTCTTTTTTCCTACTAATTTTTTTTCAATAATAAACTTGTATAGAAAATTCTGATTTGGGCCTCCCTGGTGGCACAGCGGTTGAGCGCTGGGTTGCGAAGCTGCCGGCGACCTCTGCCGCGCCGGTTCGATCCCCGGCTGCTCCCCGGCCACCTGAGGCGGGTCCCACATGGCGCGCAGACCTCTCCTGCCGCCCGCTGCTCCCCTCAGCAGTGTGTGCCTCGGTCTTTCTGCCTGCTCTGCTCCCCGCTCTGGCTCTGGTGAATTCTCTCACCCTCCCGCGCTTCTGACTGTACCCAGTGCATGTATAAACAAAACAAACAAACAAACAAACAAATAAATAAAAAACATGCCTCTATAAAAAAAAAAAGAAAATTCTGATTTTTTCATAGGTCCAATAAACAATTTAGAAGCTTTCCATTCTACAGCAACTCAGCGCCAAATAGTAAGCATTCTTTATTCTTTATCCAAAGATCCAGAAGTTCATGGCTAGTATAAAACACAAGAAAAAGACTCAATATACATTAACAGTTTTCAGCTAAGTTTTGGATCTCTTAATGGTATAGCTACAACCTAGAAGGGATATGTTGTGCGATCTGGCACATGTTTTGTTCTACAGACTACCTCTCAAAATGCATGAACATGTTCTTATAGTTAGTGGGTGCTAATCTACTCCAATCCACGACCAACTAATCCTATTATGGGAGACTTCTTTTTGAGATGGCAAGTACTCTAATATATTTTAAATTCTTGACCAATGTCCACCAAAGCTTACAGTTTGGGGCTTCCAAGATTTCCATAGCAATAGCTATTATATCAGTGCATATTAAGATTTTCCCTTGTTGGGCCTCCCCTGGTGGTGCAGTGATTGAGCGCTGGGCTGCGAGGTTGCCCGCAGAGTCGGCAGCACCGGTTCGATCCCCGGCTGCTCCCCGGCCACCGGAGGAGGGTCCCACATGGCGCCCGCTGCTCCCCTCAGCAGTGTACTTCGGTCCTTCTGCCTGCTCTGCTCCCTGCTCTGGCTCTGGTGAATTCTCTCACCTCCCCCACACTTCTAACTGTACCCAGTGCTTGTATAAATAAATCTTTAAAAAAAAAAAAAAATTCATTCTTTCTTTAAAAAAAAAAAAAAGAAAAAGAAAAAGATTTTCCCTTGTTATAACAGCAGAGAAAACAAAGTATAGAGATGGTAGTCCTTTCCTGAAAACTAGGGGAAAAGGCAAAATCTTGGATCAAATTTTCTACCCATGGAATAGAACAGAACAGCATCTCAACTTGGAAAAAAGCTAGTCATCCAAACTACCAGATGGAAAGCCAAGCTCTGGGGAAAATAAAACTCAAAGGTTAGACCAACATTAAGGAACCAAATATTTAAAAAGTCACCCAATATCTGTTAAATAGAGCACACACAGGGCCCTCATAAAACCAGGTACCAGGGAACCCGAGAGAAGCATTGATAAAGCTGACAACAGTAAAAACTTCAGCAGAGGGCCTTCCCGGTGGCATAGCAGTTGAGCACTGGGTTGCAAAGCTGCCCGCAGCCTCTGCGGCGCCGGTTCGATCCCTGGCCGCTGGGCGAGGGTCCCACATGGTGCACAGACCTCTCCTGCTGCCCGCTGCTCCCCTCAGCAGTGTACTTCATCGGTCTGGCTGTTCTGTTCCCTGCTCTGGCTCTGGTGAATTCTCTCACCCTCCCGCACTTCTGACTGTACCCAGTGCTTGTATAAATAAATAAATAAATCTAAAAATAAAAAAAAAAAAAAAAAAAAACAAACAACTTCAGCAGACCTGCCCCCAGTGTAAACAATTGCAGCAGACCCCCTCCGGCAGAAAAGACCCCCTCAAGTACACCAAAAATTCTAGCGGTAGCCTAACCCTATAAAGACCTGAGCTCCCATTTTGGGGCGTGACTCTTGGCCTACAGAGAGTCCTCACCTCGCAGACTTTCAATAAAGCCGCTTCAGTCTTACACTCTTGGCATCCTCTCTTTTCTAACAGTATTAGCTTCCCATTATTTTCTCTCACCAAGTTTAATTAAATTTTGAGACAGAGACAAAAATCTCACCACTCCTTCCCTCTGTTCCTCAGGGATTAGGGAGTCAGACTTGTTAATTCTTTTTAGCTGGCTCTTGTTAAACATTCAGGATCTCTCCATGATAGCTTTCAGAAACAAGGAGGGTCCAGTCTACAAACTCTCCTGGCTGGCTCACC